GCTTTTCTAGTAGAGCTGGTCTTCTGGTGGTGAGTCATCTTCAATTGTTTATGTCAGAACAAAAACTTTGTCTTTGATTCAGAGAGATTTTCAGTCATACAGATTTCCAGGCTTCAGTAATTTTTAAAGAGGTTATTGTATTCTCTTCTGACTTGAGTTTTTTCCTAATGTGAAGTCTCCTCTCTGTCTTGTCTTTGTTTCTTTGGCTGCATTAAAGGTTTTCTCTTTTATCATTTGATTTCAAAAATTTGATTATGATATGCCTTGCTAAGGATTTCTTTGCCAAATTCTATCATTCATGTCATTTCTAAGTCAATTTCTATTTTTGCCTCTGGTTTGGGGTCATATTATCCTGGTTTCTGCATGATTGGAAGTCTCAGGTTGGATGAAAAAATTCTGAACTTCACATTGTAAAATCCTGAGATTTTAAAGAAACATTTCTTTAAATATTGTTGGTATCTATTTTGGAGTTCAGTTACTAAGAATGTTTGATCATTTCAGAACTTGCTTTTTTTTTACTTTGTCAAAGCAATTGTAAGAGCCTTTAGCCTAGTGAACCTGCTCCATTATTAAGGACCCACCTGCTGTGGGCTTCCCTGATGCCCAGTGTGTTAGGAGGTATTTTCTCTTAGGGACTAGCTCTTCCATTCCCTGTGTGCTCCAGAGATTTCTGCCTCTACCCCGCCCCCAGTGGCACTTTTGTGACATTCTAGTTTAAAGGAAAAAGAAGAAAGTGTAACTGAGTCATAGATGTAGAGCAGACAAATTCAAACTGAAGAAAAATCTATAAAATATTTAACCTAGACTCCTTAAAATGTTAAGGTCATGAAATATAGAAAATTAATGAGGAAACTGACCTGGATCTTCAGATGAACTTGGAGATATTCAGCAGCTAGATGCAATGACAGATCCTGAAGTAGATTTTTGGATTGGGGTGTTATGTGGATTAGATAATGGTAAGGTAATAATGTTGTTTCTTGATGTTAAGAATTGTACTGTGGTTGTTCTAATTCGTAGGAAATACATGCTGAGGTATTTGGGATAAGGAACAACTTTCAAATGACTTTAGAAGTTACAGACACATGCAGGCAAATGATAAAGCAAACTGAGCAAAGTGTACATGATGGTTGAATCTGGGGAAAGGATGTATAGCAATTCTTTATATCATCCTTGCAACTTTTCTGAAATATTGAAATTATATGCAGAAAAATATCAAAAATGAATTGGCTTAAACATAGGATTGAGTTTCTTTTTATTGCAAGGTGTGCCCTACTTAGCCTCTCAGGAGAGTTGATAGGTTTAGTCTAAACATAAAGGAGAATGATTTATAATTCTCTCCTGAGAGCTCCCCATTTCTGAATCAGATTTGACCCACAGCTCAGCAGCTCTCTGATGTCAGGACTGATGGGGTGGTAGCTTATCTTTGTCAGTCAAGAAGGTTTGCTACATGCCTGCATGGCACTCTCCATTACCTATGGCATGAAACTGACACCGAAAGAGAAGCAGCAGCAGAAATAGCAATCCTTTTTGCTAGAGTCATTCATCATGAGCTTTAATGGCGAAATGTTCCCAAACTCTCAGTGCAGCCTCATGAAACCAGAGCTGACTTCTTGCTAAATTCCTATATTAGTCACAGTTCTGTGGTCACGGTGCTTTTTGTTTTTTTGTTTGTTTAATGAAAAGTTTCTCAAGCCTGTAACAATTTATTTTGGGTGGAGGCAATAAAGTTTGGGGCCAAGGGAACAGAAGAAGGAAGCAATTGTCATCCTCCATCATAGGTGACCACAGATGGCACTAAGAGGGGAGAAAATCTCTCAGAGTGATGGTAGTTGTCAAATCAGTCAAGCGGGAACAATGTGGGCAGTGTTACAAGTGAATGAAAACCTTTCAGCAAGAGATGGTGGGTTTGTGCGCCTGTGCACAAGCACTGTAGAGGGCACAGGGGTGGTGACATGAAACGTATAACAGCCCATTGTGAGCTGCTCAAGACTTCACCTACCCAGTCCTGTTTGTGGACGGCTTGTTGGCAGGGGAGAATGCAACTGATCTGTGTCTTGTCCAGGTGATTAATGGGGATGCTGCAGCCACATGGGTAAATGCTGCTTCCTTCCATGGACGCTTGACATCCCGTCCTACATGCTCATTTACCAGAGTGCATTATCTCACAATTAATAGATGAAGTTGGGACAAATCAGGGCAAGTGTCCTGGACTAATGGTAATGTTTAACAGGGCAGGAAGCTGAGCTGTCAGAGTGGCACTGGAGCATCATGTTTGGATTCTTCAATTTGTTTAAATACGGCCTGGGTCAGAATCACTGACTGCTACTACATGGAGAGTGTTCCATGAAAATTGTCCTCTTTGACATATCAACTTTCCCCTTAGATTACACCAAGCAGTGCTAGGTAAGCTGAAGAGTGGAGTAACTATTCACAGGGCTGTCTGGCCCTAAAGGAAATGACTTTTTTCTATTAGGTCTCCATGCCCCAAGTTCCTTTTGGGCACTTTTGTCTCTTATCATATTTCACTAAAGTCAATCTCATTATAAGCTTTAATTTGTGTTTCAGGATTGAGCTCAGAAAGGGTGAGGGTTTAAAGGGAACTGGTCAAATACGGACCAAGGTGATTTAAATAGTCTCTTGTCCATCTGCAAATGGTTTAGAAGTATTATTAGCCTTGTTTTCATAGACGAACAATCTGAGGAGGCACAAAAAGGGTAAATAATTTTTCCCAAGGCAAACAGGTAGTATGTGAAGGAAGTAAGATTTGGGTGCTTCATAACTCAGATGTTAACTTTGGCACCGAACTGTGAAGACCCCAAACTCTTATCCTTCTTCTATTTCCCCAGTAAAACACTGCCTTCTAATTCTGTCTTTCCTTAATTCATAAAGTGCACCTGAATACCCTGTATGCCAGGCACTGTGCCAGGTGTTGAGGATACAATCCCATCAATCTAATACGACTGGTGCTTTCACAAACTGGAGGACTTCCAACACAAAAACGAGCAAAGTTTGTATGTGTATAGAGGTGGTTGTTCCTATAATGTAATTTTGGATGAGCTCTCTGAGCTGGTGATGTTGAGATCTGAGATCTTACAACAAAACAAGACACAGAACCACACAAAGTACTGAATGTTCCAAGAAAAAGGACCAACGTGGGCAAACTCTCCGAAGCAAGGAGGAGATGGTCTGTTTACAGAACTGAAGACCAGGTTGGGAAAGTCTGGAGGAAAAAGAGATTGAGAGAGGTTGGAGATGGAATTGGAAAGTGGGCCTGAGCAAGGCCAGGCAGACCCTCCTGGGACTTGATTGCTCTTCCCCTACGGGAGGCAGGAACCAGTCTTCATGTTGCTCTCCTGCTTAAGAGCTCTCATGGGCTCCAAGGTTCAGCTTTTTGTTGCTCTTAGGTCTTTCGTGTTGCTAGTTGGTTTTGATATTCAATGGCAGTTCCTCTTGCTGGTTTTCTGGATGAGTTACTGCTGGTTAATCAGGGAGATCCTGGATCACCATCCCTGTGACTTCCCAGGCAATCTCTATCACCAGTACAATTGTGTCATCTAACTTTTCCAGGAACTTCAGGTTTGCTTTCAGTTCTCTTAGAGTCTGTCATGGTCACAGAGGATGAGGAAGATGAGCTAGAGAGCATTTAAGCAGGTTTCTGCCTCTAATCCCACCTGTACTTTGCCAAATTTAATCAATTAAGTTAAAAATGTTCCTTTGGATCCTAAAGTTTCTGACCTCTATGTGTTTCACCCATCTTTTGCACTTGCTCTTGGTTCTTTCTAGAATACCACTTTCTACATTTTGCTTGTCTTGCATTTTTCAAAACTATGTCTCTTATCAACTTTCTGTGGATTAGCTTGATCTGAGAAACAATTATTCCAGCTGATTCTGTTTCTTTTATGCACTTCTATCAGTTCCCTTACCAGCTTTCAATTGTCCACACCACAGGGGTCATGTCCTCTGTTAATGTATGTGTTCCCTGAAGAAACTGCCCCATTCATTAATCTTAGCATCCCCAGCAGCTGGCTCAGTGCCTAGCACAAAGTAGATTTTCAATAAATTCTAAGCAAAATGAATGTCTGCTGGAAATTCATATTTTGCCATTAATTCTGAATTGACTGTGATGTGTGGCCCTCCGTAACCATACATGTCTTCATAGGGATCTCAGTGACTGCTATACAATACCATATTTTAGTAGATTAGATATTTCCAATCATCATTGAGTACTTGCTTTAAGTACTTTCTGCAGTCTCTATACTAGGTGCTTTCTAGGAGCTAGTTGATCCTTATGTCAACCACAAAAGGTAGCTCTAGTGACCATTCTCATTTGACAGGTAAGAAAACAGATCTAGAGATGCAAAGTGACTTGTGCAAAGTCACATAAGCCAGTAGAGATAAGAAGAGATGGCAACTGAGTCTGTTGGACCCCACAGCACATGCTTGCAAGTGTCCAGATTGTTCTTAACTCTCTGGAATAGAGAATCAAGGTGACCTTGATGAGGATGCCCCACCTGTTTTTCTTTCTGATTTAGATAATGCTCAAATCACACTGTAGGTGGTGATTTTGTTGTTGGTGTTGTTTTACTTGTTTGCTATGATGATTGAGAAAGTGAAATCTATCCAGGGATATGGTGAAACTCAAATTTATAAGACTTTAACCTGATGTTCTGAAAATCAGTTCTAAAGAATACTTCTAGGGAAGTTTGTATACTACCATCAGAACCACTTCATTTGCTAAGATCATTAGGACAACTGGGCACAGCACAGGAAAGGGAACTGGTTTGAGAATTCAAAAAATTAGAATGCAGGAGGGCTATGGAGTTAGTTGGGATTAAGGAGTCAGAGTAGAAGCTTCATAGCAAAATGTAATGAGTTTTAAATTCAAAGGCTTTGAAAAAGCATAACCCAACACTGTAACATAATTGTATTTAACTAGTGGAGTTATAGCATCATGCTTCTGCAATGTAATCCTGGATGCAAACATTGCCCAAGTTACAAACCTCACAGACGTGGTTGTGGCAGTCCAGAAGACAGGTCATACAGGTGGGACAGATCTTACAACTACAATACTGCCTAGCTGGGCAGTACCGGCCCTGAATCATGGCTATGAGTCTGTAACCTTAAGGTAGATGACATCATAGAGAAGACAGGAGAAACCCATGTGTCACACAGTGGAATTTTAGTAGCACACTGGAGGCATTCATTCTGTAGTTCATAGACTAGGACTGGGGAGCAGCCGAACTATGTTCAGTGGAGAGGCAGATGTGAACAAAAGCACAGGGACCACATGACTCTGAACTCCCAGCCTACCCCAGAATGACCAGCACTGCCATGAAGTGTGACCCCAAATCAAAAGTTTAATTAGGAGGCTTGATTGAATCCTGCACTATCTCCTTGCATCCTCCCTCCATTTTTTTCTCCTTTTTTTTTTTTTTTAAAAATATATATCACCAGGGATTGAACTCAGGTGTATTCTACCACTGAGCCACATCCCCAGCCCTTTTTTATATTTTATGTAGAGACAGGGTTTCAATGAGTTGCTGAGGCTGACTTCAAACTGAAAATCTTCCTGCCTCAACTGCTAGAGCTGTTGGGATTATGGGCAAGCGCCGTCACACCCAGCTGCTCCTGGTACTTGTTCTGTTGCTGCCTGGTCTTTGGGAGTCACTGATTCATTCATTGTCATTTGACAGTTTACCAAACAATCATACTCTTTCCTGGAAATCCTGAGGCCAAATATTGTTACTCTCCCCATTTTACACATGAAGAATCCCAAGCTCACAGAAATGAATTGCCAAAGGCCACATGCTAAAAGCCATCATTGTTAGGAAAGAATTCAGATTTTTAACTCCTGCATTAGGTATTCCTCCTTTATCCCCCTCTTCACCTCCAGCTCTCTCCCTCACTTTCTTTCTTTGGAAACATTGACTTTTACAGTGATTTTCCAAAGCCTGGATTATATTCCTTTGTAGAACTGAGCTGGCCTTTCCTCTATCAGGGAGTTATAGCTATATTGCCAGGCCTCAACAGTTTTATGAACCAAAGAATTTTAAAAAGCACATGTGGATTATAGAAACACTAAAAGTAACATGCAAAATAATGATTATTAGGTAATACTTGTGTACTTTAATCAGTCTTTTTAGCTAAGTGTGTTTTTAACACAATACCAAATACTGATATTTTCCATAAAGTATTTTTTAATATGACCATTTTATTTTTCAATAGCTTGAAGTCTTCTTCAAAGTAAACTTCTAGTTATTAACTTTGAAATTTTTGATACTTTAGTTGTTTAGTCTGAAGGCCATAGTAATTTTAATAGATTTTTTTTTTCTTCTGGGAAGCTCAGAGCAAATTTTACTAAATAAAAATATTTCCAGTTGTAATATTTTTATACGATAAAACGTAAAATTTCCAGCCCATCTATTTTCACAAGTACTGTTCTATTACTTTTATTTGGTGTATCTTTATATTTTAACATATTATCAATCAAGTTATATTTATAATTATTTTATTTTGCCAAAACTAAATGTGCCTGTAGTTCTAACCATTTGGGAGCCTAAAGTAGGGAAAATATTTGAGTCCAGGAGTTCAAGATGAACCTGGGCAACATAGTGAGACCCTATCTCAAAAATAAGTAAATAAATATGTAATTTGATAAAATCAAGAGCAAAGGGCTTTTTTACTTTTGTGTTTCACTTGTTGACTTCTTTGACTAAAGCTTTCCTGATGATTTTGGGGAAAAAATTTAGACAACTGCATACAAAATATTTAATAATATTTAATATTTAATAATATAGGATGCTTAGATTGACTGTTACAAAGTTTTTCTAAATCTCAAACATATCTAAAATCCCTTTGCTTCAAAAGGGAAAAGGGAAATGTAGTAAGCAAGAAGGTTGGTATGAAATAATAAGGCAGCAAAGAAAATGTATACTACTATGCCATTAAGATTTTGTAAAATTCAACATTAGTTTCATTACAATAAATGTTGTTTAGTCACTCTACACATAAAGTATTTGTAAATTTTGATATTACAACTTTTACACTTTAAAACTTTTTAGTTTGAAGTAATTATAAACTCATGGAAAGTTCTGAAAATAGTAGACTTGTGCATACCTTTCATCCATCTTCCTCCATTGGCAAAATCTTATACAGATGTACTACAGTATTAATACCAGGAAATTAATATTGGTACATTGTTGTTAACTAGACAACAGACTTCTGTTGTGTTCCATTGATCTATATATTTATTCCTTTGCCAGTTCCTTACAGTATTAATTATTATAGGTACAAATCCAGTCTCAACATCAGATAAAGTGATTGATTCCTACCATTTTAACGTTTTCCAAATTATTTTACCTATTATAGTCCCTTTCTTTGCCTTTCCAAAGAAATATTAGAGTAAAAATCTCAATATATAACAAAAATTCTGTTAAGAACTATACTTTCTATTTTTGAATAGCTTTATTGAGATGTAATACATATACCATACAATTCACCTATTTAATGTATACAATTCAATGGATTTTAGTATTTTCACAGAATAAGACATCACCATAATAAATAAGAACATCTTTATTAACTCATAAAGTAACTGAACTTTCATTAACCACTACTCCTCAATCTACTTATTTTCAGCCTTATGCAACCACTTTTCTACTATCTCTATAGATTTGCCTGTTCTCAACATCTCATACTAAGAAATTAAGCATATGGGTCATTGTGACTGAGGTTTTCATTTAGCATAATGTTTCTAAATTTCATACATGTTATGGCATGCGTCTATGTTTCACTTCTCTTTGTTGAAAATATTGGAGAGTCCACCTTTTATTTTTATGCTCATCAATTGATGAATGTTTGGGTTGTCTACACTTTGGGGCTATTATGAAAAATGTACTATTAACATTTATGCTAAGGCATGTGAATGTATTCTTTTATTTGTCTTAGGTATATCCCTTGAACTGGAATTGCTGGATCATGTAGTAACTCAGTTTTCTCATGGTTTCCTCAGCAACTGTAGTATTTTAGATCCCACTATCACTAAATTAGTACCAATTACTCTACATCCTTGATAACACTCATTATTTGTCTTTTATTATAGCCCTCTTAGTTTTCAGCTATGTATCATTCTGATTTTGATATTTCCTTGAAGGCTAATGATATTGAGTCTACTCCTGGTACTTACTGGCCATTTGAATCTTCTTTGGAAAAGTGTTTGTGTAGATATTTCACATCCCTTTGCCCATTTTAAAATTAGATTATATGTTCTTTATTATTGAGTTGTTAAATATAATAAAAACAATGATGGGGATACATCATTGATCCTCTTATTCTGAGACTATACTTTTCTGGACTAAGCAGCTATTGGTTACTCTAGCTCTCCAGTCTGCAGACAGCCATATGGGACAGTCCAACTTCCAGTTGTGTAAATTAATCTAAGAATGCCCTTTTATAATCATATGTGTATGTGTGTGTGTGTGTGTGTGTGTGTAGGACTGGAATTGCTGGATCATGTGTGTTTGTGTGTGTGTGTGTGTGTGTGTATATATATATATATATCCTGTAGTTTATATCATGTAATATACATATGTGTAATATGTATATATGTGAGTGTGTGTGTGTGTGTGTGTGTGTGTGTATGTGTGTATCCATCCTATTGGTTTTGTTCCTCTAGAGAACCTTGACTAAAACAGAGGATTATTGCTCTAACTAACCTGACCACATGATCAGAAGCTTTTGAAGCTTTTTGGAATTTGTGGGAGGAATTTTAGAAAGTTTAGTGCTACAAGTTGGAAAGACTTTAGATTATTTTAAGTGGACCTTAATAGGCAATTCGGATGATGTCAAAAGACCAGAATGTTGATAGGTCTGAGGATAATAAAGACCATACTCATGAGGTTTCAGAGGAGAAGGAGGATTTTATTGGAAATTGTACTAGAAACTCTTCATGTCACATTCTGACTAAGAAGTTGTCTACATTTTCTCCAAGTCCTGAGACTTTCTGTGAAGATGAATTTAAAGGTGATGGACTTCTCAATTTGGCAAAAAAAAAAAAAAAATTTCTAGGCAACATAGCATTCAGGTGGTGGCATGAGTATCATTGGTGGCTTTTAGCCAAGCTTATTGTGATACTTGTTCAAGACAATACAGCCTCTAAAGAAATGTTGGCTACTTTAAACAGAGACAATAGAAGAGATTTCTTGAGGGAATCTCAGGAATTGGCAAGACTACACTTTTCTCAGGCTCAAGGGTGTAAAAGTAAAAATTTCTTTGAGAAGAGACCAGTGGAGCACCCTATTTGCACAGAGGGACTAGGAAGTTGTTTCACCATGCTCTGTCACTCAGGCACCCAGAGGCTGCTGCTGCCATGGTCCCTAGAGGCTTGGCTTCTTCTGGAGATGGTAGCAGATCTTGGTGTCAACCACATGGTTCTGGTTCTTCATGGAAAGCAGGATGATGGAGGATCATGGAGACTTCCACTGAAATTTCAAAAGCACTGGGAGGCCAGGCAAAGAGCCTCAGGGTCAGAGTCCCTGGGAGCTTTCCCTGAGAGGGCGCTGTCTGGAGAAGTGGGAAGGAAGCCAAAGCTGCAGTGGAGACCTTGAGATTAAGAAGTGCCAGTTCTGTGGAATGTCTGCCATGGAAAGTTGCGGGAATTGAGCTTACACAAGCCAAGACAGAAGCCATGTGAGGTGCAACCAGCAAAACCACAGGAGTGAAGCTACACAAGCCCTTTGGAGAGAACATCCTGATGCCATGTGCTCCAGATGTGGAATGTGGAGTTCCAGGACTTGTTTGCCCAGCTGGAGTTGGTCTCCCTTTGGACTCATCCCTTTTTCTTCCTTTCAGAATGGAAATGTTTACTCTGTGCCTTTAAATATTGGATGTGTGTAACTTGTTTTTGATTCTCATAGGAGCTCATGCTGAGAGTTTGCCTTGAGGAAACTTTGGATTTGGAATTTGGGGCAATCTTGGAACTGTTGAGACTATGGGGACTCTGAAAAGTGAACTAAAAGTATTTTGCACTGGAAGATGAGCATGAACTTTTGGGGTCAGGGGCAGAATGTTATGGTTTAGATATGAAGTGT